ATCTTAGAACTGCAATTTCTTATTATTTTGAATGAAATTCCAGTTAGACCATTTAATGGCTTACCTGTTGCCAGAAGTTTGTTACCGTGTAGAATTTTATCCCCATCTTGGTCAAATACAACGGTCATACCACACGCTTGAATGCGGCGAACTGAAAGAATGTTGTAAACTGCATCGGGAATGTATAAAACATTCTCTAGTTTTCCCGGAATACCAAGATTGGATTCGACGTTGATGGTTCCTTTTTCAAAGGCAGTAACAGTGGTTTCATTCTTGGCCACTGCGAGTTGAATCGGCGTGTCTAGTCTCTGGATACTGGCAAACGGATCCCGGCTATTTACAATGTGATCAGTTGCACCCGAGTCTAACAAGAAGGTCAAGGTTTTGTATGATTGTTGCTCTGAAATTTGTTTATGTCCAATCATAAGACATAAAAGCGAAGCCATCAGAAGTATTATTTGATGATGGGATTCCGTGAACTGTTTGCAAAGTTCTCTGTTTTTCATCAGAATTCCTTTTGTAAAATCGGCAGTTTTTCTTGATATGGTTGCATCTACCACAGTAGTCGCACTGAATATTGGTGGTTTTATACTGAGAAAAATGATGGCTCGCTTTGTTTTGATGTTGGTAGGATGGTTTCCTGAAATGCTTTTTCTTTTTAAATTGCATTTTACCTTTACCATCTGCCGCCGGTAAATGTGTTCCAACATTGAGCACTTTTAGACTGGTGGTCGTCCGATCATTTTTTAATTTAACCTCATGATCGAGCAGCCTGGTTTTGACAAAGGATAAGTTGAGATTATTCTCACTCAATGTTTCCAAAGCTGTGATAACTCCGTCATAGCATGACGGTAGAGTTAACAAAAGGTGTGAAACTTTGTCCATTTCATCAATTTTGGCTCCAGCGGCTATTAATTCGGTGACGATATCATCGAAGTTTGTGAAATGCTGTAACAAACTAATATCTCCGTGTAGTTTCAAAGTCAGAAGTCTCTTTCTTAATGCCAACTGTGAGGCCAAACTCTTCCTCTCATATATTTCATCTAACTTCTGAAATACCTCTCTCGCTGTAGTTGGTCCTTTAGCGAAACCCAAAAATGAGTCGCTCAAGTTATCAATGATCACACTTTTTGCAATGTTATTGTTTTTGAGCCACTCATCACTACGATCACTGGGAATTTCACTGTCAACCACCTGGATAATGTTTAATTCCGTTAGCAATGATTTTACTCGAAACTTCCAAACACTGTACCGGTCACCATTAAAAGGTTGGATGTTTCTTTTGCTCGCGCCGCGATTTTCCATGTTTTCGAAAGTCTATTAATTGCGTTTATTCACCACTGAGTAACAATATTAGTATTACGCGAAACTGGGGACCATAACCTATTAAATATTTCAGGTTATCAGTGGTTTAATTAAAACACGATAGATACGTTTTAAGGCACGATAATATATTTCAATGTTTCGTCTTAAAACATAACAGAACGACTAACTTAACTTTAGCTTTTATATTTCATCTTCACACCCTAAACCTTTTCGGGGTGTGGGAAAAATACATTTACAACGCAAAAAGTAATACCCAAGTACAATAAATAAATAAGGCAATAAATACCAACCTTTTGGGTTTATTGCTCTTTGTCAATTCTCAGGTCGATTCCTGGTAAGGTAGATTTGTTTTTGTATATTATATTATCCTTTCGGATACATATTTCAACAGGTACAACTGTACTTATCTGTTCTATCACTAGTCACAACATTTTATTTAATTTGTCATTTGTCATTTTATTTTTGGGATTAGAAAAATATAAACAAATAAAAAAGTGGTAAGGGTATGAGTTTTACTTTAAAATATTCAACGAATTTGTCTTTTTTTTTTTGCAAGTACGAGTCAAGAATAAATCTATATTTATTTGGGGGATTTTAGTTGATAAACAGTGATTTTTGGGGTATTTTTGAAATCCTTTGGGGGAAATTAGTTATAACCATCTGGCAACCCTGGCTGACTCCAACAGTTCAACGACGTGTGGTATTGTGTGAATCATGTGGCATGTGACATAGAGAGATTTTGAGCCACATAAATTTTGAAATACGTTACACGCTAAACGATAAACTAAGCAAGCGCAGTCTTTGAAAAATAGCGGATGACATTTAGCCTTTTTTTAGTTTTTGAAGCCAAAACTTGTGAAGGACGTTATACGCTAAACGTTAATGGAAATTTGTGATTAGGAATTTGAGTTTGTGTAACTAGCGTCAAATTTTATGTTGTCTGTTGTTTATGTTAGGATGGTTGGGTATTTATTTGTGATTTGTTTTGTGTAATTATGTACTGCACTTCATGAATAACATTGAAAATATAATAAAGACGTCGAAATGCTGAAACGTTATCGGTTAATTACGTTCCGTTTATTTCCACATAATTAGCGTAGTACGCTACCGCTTATTAAGAGGGCCGGTTATTTTTTCACTATTGCGCATGAGTAAAATAACCGATAACGTATAACGTTGATCAAATAGGTGGCTCAAAATCTCTCTGTCACAGTAACTTGCTTACGTTGTTTGATGTAGTAAATTTGACGTTTCGTTCTTGACGGTCAATGTCAGTGCAAATTGTGCGTTCTCCAAAACCCTGTTGTGTTGCCAGATTGGAAAAACTAACTACGTCACGAACTTTTATTTTCACGTAAGGGCGGAGCTACGAGGAAATTTAAAAAATAAAATTCCAGTGTATTGCGGTTTTTTCAAAGCAACTGATTACACTAAATAGTACGATACGTCGAGTATATCAATACGCACTAGTTAAAAATCACTTGTATACTACCCCCGTATTCTTTTTTGCGGGGCGACAAAAATGTTCGCACCGGGCCAGTTAATCGCTTTTTTTTTGGTAAGAGGAGACAATTTGTTGACAGAGGCCTATCTCTCCTGAGGAAGGAAGTATTTCGGACATTCAAGATGATTAAGCTGAAGCACTGATTCCCTTGCTGCATTAGACGCCCGCCATTGAAAAACCTTATTATAGAAATAAATAATTTTTATTTCTATTTTTTTTACAAAAAATGTACACGTCACATGAAATACGCTAAAAAAAAATCTAGACTTGCCTTGGGGGGGGGCTGCAGCCCGGCAGCCCCCCCCCTGGATACGCTTATGATTTCAGGCGAAGGATGAGCCTTAAACAATAAATTGATGACAAAAGGTTATGAAGGTCGAGCCGAAATCGTGACCGACGCGGCGTACAACGGTCAAATTGAACAAATTGTGCCCTCCACGCCGCGTCGGTCATTTTGACCGAAATTTCCAAAAATGTAATATTTTCCATTTTTGATAACATAAAATGTTGAAACATGTTTATTTTATTTCTAATAAATCTTTTGGATCAAAAAAACCTCTTGGCGCAGGATGACCAAATCTCTCAAAACACGTTGGCAGAGAACGTGTTAGTTGAGCAGGGTTGCCAGATGGTTATAACTAATTTCCCCCAAAGGATTTCAAAAATACCCCAAAAATCACTGTTTGTCAACTAAAATCCCCCAAATAAATATAGATTTATTCTCGACTCATACTTGCAAAAAAAAAAGACAAATTCGTTGAATATTTTAAAATAAAACTCATAAAGTCTGTTTTTTTTTTAAAGATAATTCCCCAAGTCAAAAATTTAGTAACTATGTTGGCAACACAAGCCTTTTCTACATAAAAAATTTGATAGCATTGACAATTTGACATTGTATTGCCAACACAATGTCATTTAGACTTTTATCTTTAAAAAAAAAACACATTTTACCACTTTTTTATTTGTTTATATTTTTCTAATCCCAAAAATAAAATGACAAATTAAAATAGATGTAGAACTGAGCGTTTGCGTTCATCCCGAAAAGAAGCAAACTGTATCTTTTTTATTGGTACTTGATTGAAAAAATAGATGGCGCAGTTGTTTTAATACATTTTTTACTCCAGTTTTATTCATTGAAATATACCCGATTTCCCCCAATAGCGAAAATGCTTACAAGTCTTACCCCCAAAAAATCCCCCAGAAAAAACTATCCCCCAGAGTTTCCCCTATCTACTTGAAAATCCCCCAAATTTGGGGGAAAATCCCCCAATCTGGTAACACTGTAGTTGAGGTTGCGCCTAAATGTAATGACACCCGACATACGCTGATATACCTATCTGTCTCTTTTGCACTAATGAGTAAGTGTGTGTCGAAAATCGGACGAAGGTTTGATTCATTTCATACTCAAATACAGCAGTAGCAGTTATGACGTAAAATCAAGGCGCGAAATATTTTCGTTTAAATAGTGCGTCCCAAAACTCTACTTTTACAATCGTTTTAACAATTTTTTCTGAAATTTCTTTCAATGGAAATATTTTTCATTTACTCCATAGATGAACAATAGATCATCGATTTCATTGAAATTATACCTTGTCCACTACCCTATTGGTCTACTGGCTTCTGAAGCGCTTCTTGTAGGATTCAGAACTGGAAAGTCTCTATGATCCAAGTTCCCTCTATGTCCTATATTTTCATCTCCTTTTGGGTTTTTATTCCTAGCTTCAAAATAGGAGATCTTTCTTCATGCTCTTCCGCACATATCGGACATCTTTGTTTGCCTCGGCAGTGTTTGGTTGTATGGCCATATCTTAAACATTTGAAACACACTTCATTTTTGCTTTCAACAATAACCATGTAAGGTTTAGAATCTCCGAATGTGTATAAAAAATTACTTGTCTTTTTTTGTCCATATTTCCACTAGGTGGGGCCTCCCCGTGCTACAATCATGTGGTTTTGATACTATTTTAGGTTACAAAAAGGCAAAGCAGAAAAAACCTATACTAAGGCAAGCAGGGGTTTGAATTTTATTCTGAGGACTTACACCTAGATGCAGATTATGTTAACTCCTAAAATTAGGTATTTTCGCTACCTAAAAGCTTTATTTCGCAAAATTAAATCGAAAATTAGAATACTGAGCTGTCACCAATCGTCGACCTCAAAAAAAAGTTTTTTCTTGAAAAATCTTTATTACATATCAATAAACAATTACTAAATATTTATTAAACAATGAAAAATTGTAACAGTCAAATAACGCAATTTGCATTGTTTAAGTCACATCCATCCCTATAATAAACAAAATGTGGTTTCAAAAAAAATAAAATACTTTTTGGGTATTTTATTTTCATTGAACATCTTTCAATTAAAACATAAAATAAAATGTCATCAGTCATTTATATAACTTCCATTCATAGTTTAAATAAGTACCTATCTTTAACAATGCACCCTTTTAGAATCAAAATTGCTAATCTCTTGCGATTTGATTATATTGTATATGAAGCTCTTGCATATCTGCTAGGGCTTGTTCAATTTGTTTCGCGAACCTATGACAATCCTGGAACAAAATTTACTCCATATAAAATATTTATGATAACTGAAAATTACTCACCGTTGTTGGGCAACTTTTCTTATTTGATATATGAAAAAACAACAAATCCTCTCCAGCGATTATATAAGAAACCCCATATCCGTCGTCGGCTACAGGACCAAAACCACCGCCAGCTGATATGCATTTAGGGTGCTTTTTGAGATCCATCCTCTTAGTTTGTCCATGAGGTGTTTGTGAGGTAGATAAACGCCAGGGCTCACTCAAAACTTCTTTGAGAAATGGCGATTCTACTTCTAAGTATTTGGAAACGACAAATAGGCAAAAAATGTGTCGGTCTATGCCTTTACCACTCATACCATCTTTGACTAATTTCTAGAATAATTGAAAACTAGCAATTTTGAAAATCCAAGGCAAAAATTATTCTTACTTGATGATTTCTACAAGCCTGTCTCAATAATCTAACTTTCTCTTCTACCGAAGCATTTTTATCTTCCATGGTTTTAACCCAAGTGGACGATTCTTCAGTGCAAGGTCTTACAGTTTCTGTTCTACCTTCCCTGAAGAGTCTTGTCATTGTGGCCTCATAAGTTAAGCAGAATTTGCCTGCATCTCTGAAGTAGGCTAATTGAAGGGCCATTTGGATGTAAGCGTCTGGTCCTAAGTGGCAACCTTTCATGAAGCCTAAAGAAATTATTTTTTTTACTTGCTTCATGAAAATTCTATTAATTTATGATGTTTACCTTTTCCATATCGATCGTGAACATAAATCCTCAGATCAATATCTTCTATCAACTTGTTTGCTATGTCTAGACTAGCTCCTATATCGTTTTGACATTCAAATCTAATCTCCCAATTTAATCTGCTGGGTGGTGGTGGGGTGAATTCCGGATTGCCCAGAGTGTTACCGTTATGGTCAAATCTATGTTTTTTTTTTTGAAAAAATTATTCACATTAGAAATATTGTTCAAACTGGGTTAATAACAACCAATACTACATAGAAGAATCATGCTTGAATTGAATTATCAACAAAAGGTTGGGTTAATTATTGTCTTTGTAGGTCTTTTACTTTAAAAAAAAAACTTCATTAGTTTCTAAATCACAGCCAAAATCGGAAACCACAATGATATTAATAATTAAAAACACATTTCACACTCGATAGAAAACACATTTTATGGTTATTTAAAATCCATCTGTTTTGTAGCCTTAGTCCAGATATTGAGGTACCTATTAAATCAGATTAATAAAATCTGTGACATTATAATGATTTGTGTATACCCCAGATTAAAAATTTCTAGCCCTCAAGATCTAATCCCCAAAAATCTGGACCAAATCAAATATTAATTACAAAGTAAACTCATGCTACAGTTTTTTTTTGTGTGCGTTTCTGTTGCTGGAAAAATTATACAAAGCAAATCTACTAGGCATGAAAAGTTTTCACATTTACATAATAATTTACCGTGTAAAATCAGCCTCTTCAAGCAAAATATATTCCAAGCAGTGCGCTATAATCGGAGCGTCAGACCTACAAAGTCGAAATAAAAAAAGAAAAGTGAAAAATCCAGCCACCAACAAATGAGTTAGATACAGGAAAAAAACAAAAAAAAAAATGTAAAGTGAAAGTAAAAATGTGCAATCAAATAAGCTGACAATAAATCAGAAAATAGTTCACAAGTGTTATATGGGCTGTTTTCTCAGAAGGTTTAAAATTCCTTATTTGATTGCACTATAAATAACATGACGTTTTGTCCATTTTTAGTCACAAAAAGGCCAAAACCATAATAAGGAAAGCAGCAACAGCTAAAAAATAAGGGCTTGCTGTGAAAATTACCGAGGGTCATATGATTCTTCTGTAATCACCCATTCCCATAGGTGGGACATCACAGCTGCGTCTGACCTATTCAAATTTCAAAATAAAACAAGAAAATGTTGGTTTAAAAAAAAAACTATGAATAAAAATTGATAGAATACCTATCAAGGATTTCACGAATATTTAATTGCTAACTATGTAGTTCTTTTGAAATTCATAGGTGAGAAATTTTATTTCCATACTGACCAAATTTAAATATTTTATTTTAAGTAATGCGTTTTCATGAAACAATGTAATTTTTTAATAATAATAGTCTAGGGTTCAGCTATTTATGACCTATTATCCAGCTAGACCAAAGTTCACATAGGGGCAGAGGTCTCTAGATCCAATATTGTGCATGGAATATTATGTAAATTTGCTGCCTGACAGTGTGGAATAAAAAAAAAACATCTGTATGATATAATTTTGTTGCAAAAAAAAAGAAAATAGGGTTGATTAATTTTCAAGACGTACATTCTAAATATATTAATCAAATAATGCAAAACATCACTCACCAAGAGTGTTCTGCATTAAAACCTAATCTCCCATTGCTTCCAATACACAAGGTAAAAGATTTGTCAAACCATCTATCATATCCTCTTCCATGAAGCAACACTTTTCCATACCTATCCAACTTAGATGGATCATTCTGGAAACGTTTTGATATTGGTAATTTTTTTAAAATTCATTCTTAATTCCCATACCATGTCAAATTCATAAGGAAAATCGTCTAAAACTACAACAAAGGCGGCTTTTTCGATGGCATCCAAAGACGATTTATTGACGCCTTTTGAAAAATATTGTTCTCTAACGTGAGCCCAATGTGTTCTTACTCCTGCTGTTAGGGCTGCTAGTTTTTCTTCTCCTGGTTGAGGCTCAGATTGGTCTTTGAGGATTTGTTCAATTTGCCTAAAGCCCTCATTTAAAAATTCTCAAAACCATTAAAGATGGCAACTTACATTTGAATTTCAGCTGGTTTTAGAATCCGTCCTCTATGATAAATGAAAACTTTAAAATATCGTCCTTTATGATACACAGCAATGTGACTACTGTCTGCACAATGTACAATTTTATCCATTTTTTTACCAGGTATTCTGGTCGTGTTGAAAAGCCTTTCATATTGCCAGGAGCATATAGGGACCAAACCACTTATAAGAATTGGATCTAATTCTTGTCTGTCCAGTAATCTACAAGAACTACTAATAGAATTTTGCTTCAAAAAATTTCAATTCCTACCTTCTAAACATCAAAAGCGAATTAATAATAGAGCCAGCCCTTGCAGCCTGATTAGTAGTGGGATGTAACATAATAGCATCAATTCCGTAAAAATTCGAATTAATCATTAAAGGATATCTTCCTCTCAAATAAACATATTCTTCCCACCAATCAGAAACATAATTTGTAGACCACCAAGATTTTAATACCAGATATCTTTGCAGCTTCTTACCAATGCCATTTTCAAACTCTGAGGCTAGTACTTTGAGTTTTTCATGTTTGGCATCAGCAACCAATGGGCGGACACTTTTCAGGTACTGAAAAACACCTCATATATTATATTTATTTGTACCCAATCAAACTATCTTACTCTTGTCATTGTGTCGTGAAGAGATGGCAAAGGTAATCTCGGTAAAGAGCTCTGGTAGCTATATAGTTTTGGCGTATTCCAGCCACCAACGATTTTCACTAAACGAAGCCAAATTCTTGTAGCTAGAGAAGGTTGCCTGCCCTGAGGCTCATACATCCAGCCTTTGTACATGAAAATCATTTTGAGGCTGTATCTTAAAAAATAAACTCCAGAGAGCCAGTAAGCTAGAGATGAAATAGTGCAGGCTCCTATTTGCCAATGAATTGTTTGTCTAGAATAAATTGGATATAAGTACTTTTTGTTTGAACAAAAAATATAATAGGTATACTTACGAGGGGCTTATGCTCAAAATTTTTTGAGGCAAATTGAAGGGTGCCCTGAACCCGTTAAGGTGCATTGTTGAAATAATACCAATAAGGACACACAGGTAGCTGTAATGGCCTGGATATACACCATTGTGAACATTATTCTAGAAAATAATGTCAATTTACTGGACAAATTATAGTCTATTTGCATGGCACAAAATGTGCAACAAAATCTGGTAACGACTATGAGGTAATGGTAACAAGTGAACTTAATTTCTGTAATCATGGATGTCTAAAAATCACTTTTCCACGGGGGCCAGATATAACAAAGTTGATATAGAAGTAAAATACAGAATATTGACCAGTTGCGTTCTGATATATTGAATCTGAGTAAAAGCATGGACTATTATCAAGGCATCATTGATGACAAATATGATGGTTTCCTCAGCAACATGACTGGTATTATTGATACTCACCAGCCAAAAAAAGAAGTTGTTGTAAATGTTAGGTATGATGGATGGTTTAATGAGCGGGTTTCAAATGCAATAAAGGCAAGAGAAAATGCTTATAAAACATATGCAATCAGTAAAAATCAGAGCAATTGGGATAATTGTAAAAATAGTAGAATGCTGTTGTAAACATAATAAGAATAAAAAAATGTAGATATTTTCAGGACAGGGTGGATAAATGCTATAATGACTCAAAAGAAATGTGGAGATCATTAAAACACATTGCTGGTCAAAAAAATACAGAAAAAATAGACAAAATTGATTTCTCGGAAAGCGTTTCCAATAGTTTATCTGAAATTGTGGAAAATTTTAATATCTTTTTTATTCAGAGTATTACAACGCCTCTATGCCAAAGAATATTTATTACTGAAAATAGTGGCAATGTACGTTTTTCTAAGTTTCAACTTATTGACCAAAATATTCTTAGGAAAGTCATTTTTTCTATGAGTAATAAGTCGAGCCGTGATGATATCAATATGTGGTTCTATGAAGAATTTTTTGATGAATTATTTAAGTATTTATTTCTTTATTCATTTATTTAAGGTACACCTTACAAACACCCAAAAGGTAATTACAAGTAAGGGTGATTACCAAAGTGATTACTAAAAATAATGCTAACACTAAAAACAGAAAAAACAAGAAAGAGTAAAGTTTACAGTTTATAGTGAAATTTAAATAACTTACAATAATACAACAATAGGTAAATATCTTGGTAAATAATATGTACAACAACACTTATAGGTATGTGTTAGAAAGTTTTTACAGGTAATGACCAACGTGAATTCAGGGACACAACGGTCCCTGTTTGGGAATCGACCCACTGAGCAGTGGACTCAGGCTTCCCGTGCCAATCCTTGACGCGTTTCGTCCTTGTTAGGACTCATCAGAAGGACATAGGCTGAAACTCCCTGTCCAAGCAAAATTGAACTTCGTTGACCAGTCAGAAACAACTACTCCAAGGGCAAATACCCCTACCGGCGTTGAACTACACTGATTGATCTGAGCTTCCGTTGGCAATGAAAATTTGCCCTCAGAGTAGTTGTTTCTGACTGGTCAACGAAGTTCACTTATAGGTTTTTCAGCTAAGAACACATTAACCAAAATAGCTCTTATTCCACGCACATATGCATTGAATATATCTATTCATTCAAGTGTCAAGATCGAATTACATTTACTCAACATGGCATTTATAGGAGAACAACTGGTAGGACACACATGAAAGATATTGTAGGTGTTACATCTTAGATTAATTTTAGGAACATGATGTCGGATGCAAGGTTGGATGTAATTAATAAATAAGTAGTCTTTAGATTTAATATTATGAATTATATAAAATAAATATGAAAATAATAGTTTGTACACTTTTTCTAACTGAAAGTTGTTGCATTTCAAATATCCCTAGCATTCCCCTGTAAGAAACCAACAATGGAAAAGATGGATAAACATTGAACTTTTTGTAACATAAATATCTAAGGAACCTTTTCTAGACCTTTTCTATTAAATCCTTATTACACTCTGCCACTGGGAACCAGACTACACATGCATATTCCAAATGTGGTCTAACAAATGTGTTATAGAGTTTTACTATAGTATCAATTTAATAAAAATGCTTTGTGTTGCGAATTATAAACCCCAGGGATTTTAATACTTTGTTGACGATCGGCTGATAATGTAAATAGAATCTAAAATTTGACTGAAAAGTTACCCCAAGATCCCCACAGTCATCCCTCCTAGACATTTCCGTTCAATTAATGTGATATTTATAGTTAATGGTGTTCTTACGACGAGAAAAAGTAACTGTAAAACACTTATTGATATTTTGAAACATATTTTTATTTTTAAACCATTCAATCACATTCTGCTAGTCATTTTGTAGCTTATAGTACGGGATACGAGGCCTATTTCATCAAATCATTTTACACCGTCTTGCATTGTTATCATCAGTTAGATAACATGATGGTGAAACGCACTTGTGCAGGGTAATAGATGGGAGTGGGGGATTTCGCTGAAAAAAATATTTCAGAAAATGTTGTCATAAACAAGGAAAATATATAATTATACACCGTCTTGCATTTATTTATTGAGTTAATTTGTACACAAATAAAATTGGATTAACACATGCAAGACGTTTTCATGGAGGTTTTGGAGTTGTAATATTAGATAAACATTGTCAATTTTTCAGAGGGGTGAAATATCATTTTACACCACTTCATTGTTAATTTAGATTAAAGCTTGAATATAGAATAGCTACTGGATACTGATGCAAGACGTCCTGTGGAGGTATAACGAGCTGCAAGACGGGGGTCAATGTGTTGTCTTATGAAGGAGTGAGAAATCATTTTACACTGTCTTGCACTGGTACTAATGGGAAAAACAGAACACATTGATAACATTTTTAAAAATGCAAGACGTTCTAAATGGAAAAAAAGGACTACAAGACGGTGATGAAGTTAACTAATTTTGACGGGGGTCAATCCATCAGGTACAAAGGTGAATACCACTCCAAATTACAAATAACGCACATTAATTTTAAATATTTTTGCTCTTTACACGTAGAATAATTCTATTTTGCAAAATTCTCTTAATATTATGTATATTTGAATGTCTCTATGGACATCAAATAAGAAAAGGTTGAAAATTGTTCTTTTTCTGGCGGCTTATAATCATTTAAGTTTTTTTTGGGGTGGATATGCCATATCACATAACGGACTGTAATTATTAGCTAAATTTAGGAAATTTGATTTTGAAGCAGCAAAAAAATGACACAACAAATAATGATCTGTCTGGAATTGTAAACAGAAATTATAATTCCTGTATTCAGCAGACTCCCCTGTTGAGCTGCTATGTCAACTGTCCTTTTCCATCTGTATGATTTAGAAAAGAATGAACAGTGAACGGTCGGTTCAGTAAATAACTCAACAGTTCAGTTAAAAAAGGAAACGGATTTATTAACTTTTTTCCCCGAAAAAACGTCTTGGACTGATGTATTACCATTTCTTAACATATATTCTTCCGGCGAACATAAGCATGAAGTGGTGTAAAATAATTTTTCACTCCCTCATGAGACAACGCATTGACATCCGTCTTGCAGCCCGTTATCCCGCCACAGGACGTCTTGTATCAGTATCCAGTAGCTATTCTATATTCAAGCTTTAATCTAAATCAAAAATGGAGTGTTGTAAAATGATTTTTCACCCCTCTCAAAAATTGACAATTTCCATCTTATATCACAGCCCCAAAACCCCCATGAAAACGTCTTGCATGTGTTAATCCAATTTTGTTTGTGTACAAATTAACTCAATAAATAAATGCAAGACGGTGTATAATTATATATTTTCCTTGTTTATGACGACATTTTCTGAAACATTTTTTTCAGCGAAAAACCCTACTCCTATCTATTTCCCTGCACAAGTGCGATTCAGTACCATGTTATCTAACTGATGATAACAACGCAAGACGGTGTAAAATGATTTGATAAAATAGGCCTCGTATCCCGTACTATTAGTACAATCTTGTCCAGAAGATAAACCTGCGAGAGTTCATTACCCACCCATACTAGTATATTATGCAATGATCATGTAATGATAGCCATTAATACACGAGCATGTTGTAGGATACGAAACGAGCCGCAGGCGAGTTTCGTATATAATATGCGAGTGTATTAATGGCCATTACATGAGAGTTGCATACACTATTTTTTCTACTGCCATTGATAAAACTTATGATATTTAGATATGTCAACATTATGCTTAACTTTGAATAGAGATTTTTTTATAATTGAGTAATCCATACAGTTAAAGGTTTCATTTTTTGTTGTAATTCTTCAAAATATACTATCAAAACATTTTCTGAGAAGGACGATGTGTTTTTGGTGTTTCCAATCCCTAAATTGTCCATATAATTTTTCGCAAATTTTCTTGGACTTGTCCGGTTGTATATTATTACCTGCATTTGTCGCCTTTTCTGTAATTTTTGGAGGTGTTAGTAAAATTTCTTCGTTATCACTCAATATTTCCATAATAATGCCTTATCCCAAATATTATGTAACTTTTAATAACAATTCGTAGTATTTTTTTCATGGAATTATTGTTTTTCGCTAAATTACCATGGAAAAGCTATAAACAGAGTGCTGTCATCATTCAAAAAAAAAAATAATTCAAAATTTCTTAATTGGTGGCTCCATCTATTGACAATGTATAATAATGAAAAAAGTAAAAATTCTTCCTTATCACTCATTATTTCCATAATAATTATTCTTTGTGCCAAACTTTAGGTAACTTTTAAACAATTCGAACTCTTTTTTATAGTTAGCAAAATAATTGTTTTACGCAAAATTACCGTTAAAAATGTTCAATATCCTAACTAGTGCTGCCATCTAACAAGATTATATAATATTAAAAATGAGTATTATAATGAAAATCTGTATCGTAATGAAGTTCATTATAATACAGATTTTAATCGTTTAATAGCGTATTATGAAATGTCAGTAGAAAAAGTATACTTCCTATCAATTAATAGGGTTTTAAGAAGGTTAAAGGCTCGGTTAAAGGTTTTCTGAGAAATGCCAATATCAACTAATTTTTCAAGTAAAATATAATGATCAACTTTATCAAATGCCTTTTCTGCATCCTTGTATCGTCTGGCAAGTGGTAACT